GTACAGATACATACTGTGGGAGAATAATTTGTCTAAAAAACTCCAAACAGCTCATACAAAAGAGAAGAAAATTCAGTTTCTGTGGTTTGGTAATAAGTCCCCTAAAAGTTCCCATTCTTGCTGTTCTACCTGAGGAAAAATAGAAAGTTGTGTAAATAAAAATTACACAAAAAGTCACCAGAAGAGATGAACAGAAACCAGCTTGCTACAGTACAAACCTGAAACATGCACCTCTGCGTGTTTTGCTGCTACTTGACGAGTAAGCTCTATGTGAGCTACCGAGCACCTCACACAGCAGCACTTCTCTCCCGGCTTCTGACACCATGCACAAATGTCTCAAGGCTCTGCCTCTGTGATTTACTGTACCAACTGAAATGTTTTAAAAATACGTCTCTGTATCACTGCATTTGACATAGCTCACATATACACAAACACTCCTATTTACATAACTTGGGAAAACTTCAGCCATTACACTCAAGGTCTGCCAAAGGAGCCCACTGATCTCTAAAGTGACACTGTGGAAAAAAGGAAATATACGACATCCCATTGTATGGGGTGGAAAGCCAAGTGCATTCTGGCTGCTCTTTCCGAAGTAATTTTTGTTCTGCAAAGTAAATAAATAAATAAATACATCGACTGAAGCCTTTGGAGTGTGATCTATACACTTCCAAGGGGGAAATCTACCCAAGTGTAAAAGATTGATAGATATGCTTCCTGAAGTGTTATCTCCCAAGGTGATCACAGTGTTTAGCAGATAAAAGAGGACTAAAGAAACTTTCTAATGCCAACTGAGAAAAAAAAAGTGTATTTGTTATTGCTATTATCGTGCAAAGCTCTGGCCTTTATTGCCACAAGCTATTTTAAGGCCTCCAAGAACTGCAGGGATATGTGAATACTTTGGACTAAAAATACGATCAAAGATGCAAAAAACATGTCCAAAGAGATTTTTTTTTTTCCTGTTGAGCCGAAGAAGTTCAGCGGGAAATGACCACGAACAGTTGTTGGCCACATATTAAAAACCACTGGCGAGAGAACAAGCACTGGCAGTTCCCACTTGTGAACAAAACCAAGCTGACAAGTGAAGGCGACTAACTTTGGACATCAGCTACTATTTTCTGCAAGTATTTTCTGCTGCTAAGGCACTTGTGGCCTTACCAGTGAAACTGATGGGCTCCACTTTGTTTCTCTTGTCGCTTTCCCCGGTGTGTAAATGCAAAAAAAAAAAAAGGAAGAAAAGCAGCAGTTACATAAGTTGAGCAGAGAGTCGGGAACGTGCAGGGAGAGACAGCCATCTGTCTCGCTGCCTTTATGCTGTGTTATACACATGGCACTGGCTTGCACCCTGCCATCTAGCAGAGAAGGAAACCGAGGGAGCGCTGAGGCAGCCCAGTTCAGCCTCCCAGCAGAACCGAGACGGAGCACTGCGCTGCAGGGAGGAGGGAGGAATAATGCGTTTAGCAGAGGATGCGAGACTGCCGGCCGAAGGGCCTCTTGGGCGCTCATCGCTGAATGAATTAAAGTTCCCGGCGAGGAGGCCGGGGGAAGCGACACGAGGAGTGTGACAGGAGGGAAGGGGCCGGGAGCCGCCAGCCCCCCGGGGACACGGCGGGCACACGCCGGCGGCCGGAGGGGGCGCGGGGTCCCCGGCGCGGCCGCTCCCGCCCCAAGCAGGGACCGGGGGCTCCGGGGGCCGGCCCGCCCCGGGGGTCGCTGCAGCCCAGGGCCGGGACGGGCCGGGCCGAGCCGGGCTGGGCTGGGCTGGGCTGGCCCGCCGGGCCCGGCCCCGAGCCCCCTCCCCCGGCTGCGGGCGGCGCGGCCCGGGAAGCGGCCTGGATGGAGAGCGGCGCTGGGAGCGATGCCCAGGGCTCACCTTCCCCTCCCCCCGAAGAAGCGCGCTTCAAAATGGTTTTGCAGGCGAGGCTGGCCAGGCTGCGCTCGGTGCAGGGCTTCCAAGAGCAGTGCCTGGGTTGGTTTCCGTATATTCTTTGGCTTTTAATAGCTAGCTGAGGGGAAAAAAAGAAAGCATTATTGTTTTCTTTCTTTCCTTCTCTCATTGCCTATTCTAAATTTGACTCCAAAGTTTAAGCAGTTGAATTGGCTAATTCTGAATACAGTCTATTGAGAGACCAGACACAGCAGTATATCCCTGTATAGCAATAGATACAATGTGCTGAATTGGCAGTCTAATTATAAATGTGGCATTTGGACCTCCTTTCAGACCCAGTGCCACCTTACCTTATGAGGGAACTTCAACTACAGCAACTGTTCAAAACAAAATGCCATTACAGGATCAGCTTCACCCAACACTGGAACCAGCCAGGGGATTGTTTTACAAACAGCCTTTCTCACTTAACACAAGAATGTATTATAAGGAAAAGTTATGGATAGTGCAGAGTCTGAAGAAAACGCGTATGTAGTTTCTGCCAGGTGTCGAGCTACTTCAAACTGCAGCATACTCCAAATGACCTCATTATTTTCTTTTAAATGTACTCACTATAAATAATTATTCCTTAGTTTTACTAGAATGAGCTGCTAGGTACGCTTGCTGTTTATATTCCAAGCGTAGTGTGCATGTAACGTCATGAGCACAAAAACCCACGAAATATCCTGGCTCAAAACAAAAACCTGCAATAAGATCTTGCCAAAGAATCATGGGGTGCTGAAAAAAAAGGTATTTAAAGGGTCCTTTCCAGGGAAATGTTCGTATTTAATGGCAAGCTACATGCACATATCTCACATTCATTCTTATTATTTACTTTATGGTATTATAATGGCTTAATTAAATGAGTGGGCACAAGCACGTCAATAAAACAAGTCAAGTCAAGTCGAAGTCTCAAAACAGGTTTCAAAATTGCTCCATTACACGAATACAGAAAGGGAAATTCGTTAATTTTTGGACTTCAAACTCTGTTTGAGGACTGGGTAGAACTGTTCTCCTGTCCTCACGATCAGCACTGAAGATGGAAACGGCAAAAAAATATTAAAGTGAGGGCAAAAGAAAGCAGTAGGAACAAAGTGCCGCTCGTGTGCCGAAGGCTATTTAAATATGCTTAATAAACATATACCTTATCTACGAACAGCAGGCGAAGATATATTACTTTATCACAGAAAGTTTCACCTCTCTGTTTTTGGGAAACACCCCTAGGACAGCACTAATCTGCCGTCCCCAGGCTCCCACCGGGCTGCCTTTCCCTGCGGCCCCCCCTTCCCCCCACCCCGGCCACTCAGACGCAACACTAATTGTCCTTTCACGGTGCCACTTTCACTCCTTCCCGTCCTTTCACAAACAACAAAACCGCAGCAAACCCCACGGCGAGGCGGCCCGCAGGAAGCGGAGGCAGCGCTCGGCCGGACAGCAGCGGTGCCTGCGAGTGACCCCGGGCCCCGCCGCACGGCTCGGGCCGCGCCGGGGCCGCCGGCCCGGGGACACGCTGCGGCGGCTCGGCTGGAAGTACCTGCTCGCATCCCGCCTGTCTGCTCTCCCTCTGCCCTGGCTACACCCAGCCGCGACCCCGCCGCCGGTACACGCGTGCATGCATTACACGAGCGGGCAGCGCCGGTGCCCGCTCCTCCCCGGAGCAGGGCAAGCCGCAGAGGCGCACTCATTAGCTCCCACTGATGATTCCTTTCAGGATCATGAATGGAACAATTGTCAAAAACTGCGGGAAAAAAAAACAAGCCCCGAGACTATTATATACAGACGCAGCTTGTGTGCGCGCATGTGACAGTTGCAGGCAACCCAGATTTGGCCATAAACGCTTCAGCGTTATCCGAGATAAAACATCAAATTGCTGGTACGGTAAAAGAGGCTCCTTATCCCCAGTCCAAAAAAATAAACAGCTTCCAAGGTAGTGAAACCCAGGAAAAGAACAAGCTCTCCACAAGACACACCTTGCCTCACTCGTATCCTGCAGAACCGCCTGCAAACAGCTGCGCTAGCTTGTTGCAACTGCCACTATTTTATTTTAAAAGAATAACAGTAATAATAGTAAGTGAAATACTTCCTGAAAACTTACTTTGCATTTAGTTTAGGCACTATTCTTTTTTTCAGCTCGCAAAGGAAGCCGTTTTGTCCAGGTTAGGTATTGTCTACTTATGGATCAGCCTCTGGCTAAGGGTTTATTTTAATTTATGGCTTATGCATTCTTTTAAGGTCGATTTGCATGACCTCCGGCAAAGAGCTAAGGCAGCAAGAAATCCCAAGTCGACTGTTGCCACAAAGCGGCACGCATCTCCCCTTCTCCGGGTGTAAACAGAGCTCTCTGATGATGGACTGCCTTCTTCCCCCCTCCTTGTGTATCACGAATTAGGGCGCGATATCGATTTTAAAGTTTTCTGTATAACTTTATCCAGGGCTCTGCCGGCAGAGATAAGGCAGCGGCTCCCCGGGACAGCGCCGCGCTGTGGCCGAGCGCGGCACGGCCGCCGCTGCCGCCGCAGCTTTGTGTGCTCCCCGCAGCCGTCCCCGGCCAACTTCAAAGCACTCACCCACCTCAAACTTCGCGCAGAACCCATAAGCACCACTAAACTCCCCTCACCTTTCTCCATCCCGCGTCTCTCGGGGTTATCCGCCAGGAGAAACCCACGCGAGCGCTTCGGAGCAATGACAGCAGCGCTCCGCTCTCAAAGATTTATTTCGGATTTTATTTTTCCTCTCTTTCTCTCTTTCTCCCTCTCGTGTTAGTTCCTTACGTACAATATCTTCCCGCACCATGTGTTCGCCTGCCGTGGGTGATCTTAAAATACAACGCTGATCTGTCACTACATTTTAAAATAAACTCTACTCGGGAAGGATGAGAAAGTGTTGTGATTTCAAGGTACTGGGGTCCCTTAACGTCTCGGAAACCTCGGGATTCAAACAGCCCCGGAAACTCGCACAGGGACAAGACTATAACTACTTTTCCCTAAAGAGAAGGGAGGGAAGGAAAGAGAAAAAAAAAAAAAAAAAAAAAAAAAAAAAAAAAAAAAAAAAAAAAAAAAAAGGAAGAAAAAAGAAACACAACACCCTCGTGATATCAAAGTAAATAATCGTGCAGGGGGAGGCGGGGGAAGGGGTGAATTCAGCAATGTTAAAAGCTAAACAACAGATCTATCTCCGGACGCTGCTGCTTCACTCAATTGCAACTAATAACCCATTAAAGACAGCGCAGGGGGAACTGAATTCTCTCCTGCAAAGCGACATAAATCCAGCGAAAACCCATTAAACCACCACCACCGCCACCAAGCCACGCAGCACTACGCACCACAGCAAACAACAGGTATACAACACAATAGGGCTGGTTTTCCTGGTTACCTCCTCGGAATCCAGTGTGGCACAAAGCACTGGGAGAGCCTCCTTTTTTTTTTTTTTGCAACGCGCTTCGGTAATTTTCATTAAAAAAAAAATTAAAAATAAAAAAAAAAGAGGGAAGGAGGTGAAAGGGGGGAGGGAGGGGAGAGGAATAAATGGGTAGTAATTCGGTAAAATAAAATAAAATAAATGAACTAGAGTCTGCTGGTGTTTCTCCGGGCCATGGATGTGCAGGATCCCGATCGTTAGAAGTTTGCGGATGGGTTGCCTGGAGATTTGGTTACAATCAGGTTCATTTTTTTTTTTTTTCCTCCTGAAACAAGTGAAGGCGATGGTTACTGCTGTCAATCTTGGCAATCAATGTGAGCGGCCATGTCGTAAGTATTCAAAGCATTTCCCGTCGTGCAACATCAGAAAGTGAGTGGCCAGGGCATTGATCTGAGGAAGGCAAAAGGAGGCAGGGCTCCCCCGCCCAGACAGCACAGGCAAGATGAGACAACACAGGGAGAGAGAGGAGGGAGAGGGGAAGGGAGGGAGAGACAGCGAGAGAGAGAGAGAGAGGCTGGGAGCGAGCGGGGAGAGCAACAACTGCGGAGAAAGTGAGCACAAAACAGAAAGTGAAATCGGCGCGGGCTGCCAGCCGCATCCCCGCGCAGCTATCACCACTCACAGGGCCATTAGACACATGAAACCCTACACCGCTCCGCTCCCGCTAATGACCACTGATTGCCCGGAGTGGTGAGGAAAGGTACTAGAAAGTTACCGGGGAGGGGGTGCGAGGGCGGGGCGGGGGCCGGAAAAGGGGGGGGGAGCCGTGTCACACGTGGCCGGCCCGCCCTCCGCCCTCCCTCCGCGCTGCGTGGGGACACACACGCCGGGAGAGTCCCGCCGGCTCGCGGGATACACCAGGAAAATAAAATTACAAGGGGAAAAAAAAAAAAAAAAAAAAAAAGGGAAAAAAAAAAAAAGCTGGAGAAAGACGATGCGCAGGAGGAGGGAAGGGCTGGCGGCGTGGGGAGGGAGCGGGGACGACGAGAGGGAAGCACTCAGCAAGCGCTTAGTGACAGCTGATAAATGGGTCTCTGAAGAGCCCGATCCCACAAGCACGGCCGGGAGCGGAAAAAAAAATTTAAAAAAAAATTTACAAAAATTAAAAAGGAGGGGCAGGGAGAGAGATGAAATGGAAAGTATAAATTACACCAGAGATGGGAGTCCAGCTACAGGGACCCGGGGAAGAGGAAGGGGAGAGAAGGCACTCAGAGTCCACAAACTATTTAGTGATGGATTCAGCAGAAAGGTGAAAAGTGAGTGCAGTGAAAAGGGAACGACAGGTATGGCCGCAGAGGAAAAACTGATTTAGGACGGACTCGAGCTGAAGTTGGGATTCTCGTGGCGACGACGAGAAATTTTAGCAGCGGCAATATATAAATATCCCTCTCTCTGCCTACCAAAAGGCAACAGATAAGGACTGGAATATCAGCTTGAATACCAATTTAGGAACTCACGCTCTCTTGGAAGTGCTAATTGGGGATGGGGATTGGG